AAAACTTATACTTCTAAATTCTTGACTATAAAACTACTGTATAGACTTACTCTTTGATCTAATTTTTTAGGCTTATTAATGTTCTTTCTTATTTTAAAAAAACACACACAATTATTCCCTCAATTAACCCTTCACTGATAAGACCAGAGGAGAGCTTTTACCAGATAAGCTATAAATACCAATTCTTGCTTTAGGTAAATAGGGAATAGGGAATAGTCTAATTACCAAAGGGCCATTCTCTTGCCAATGCTGCATTTCTTTTGCACTTTTGGATTCCGTATTTATCCCAAATGCTGTTGGATGTCCCTGGAAACTCCTTGATTTTTTTCTTTTTCTATTTATATTCTTGCTTTTGTTACTGAACTTCTCCAAATGCTATAATATAAAGCCTACCAAATCTAAGTGATATGTCTTATTCTAAGATAACTTTGTTTTAAGATTTTTTTTACATTCCAGAAGATGCCCAATACAGAATATTTAAGGAAAATAGAGAAACTTTACAAACTTGTAATTTAGAGAGCAAGAACAAATCATATATCAAATTTTTAAAAATTATTGGTTTTAGGTATATGATATTGGGACCTTCTGCACCCAGGTAAACAAAGAACTGTGTTATATAGAATGTCTAATTATGAAATCTTTTAAAATTGAATGTTCTTTTGTATTGTAACTAGGTAATTCCCTAGACTTCTAATAAAAAAAACAAAAAACACTCCATTGTTTTGGGAAACAAAAACATCACTCCACTTGTTACGTACCCATTTTCTTTAATATTTGGAAATTATCTTTTTAATTTTATTCATGAACTTTTGTATTTTCCATTTTTGAAATTTGATTTGTAAATTTACTTATGTTAAAAATAAACCATTTATTTTCATCTTTGAATTTTATTTTGTGCATGTGTTTTATGTCTTTATTTTCATGTTTGGGCATGAGAAATAAGAATAGAAAGAATTAATGATTATGCTTATACAAAGAAATGTAATAAGTTATATTAGTTAAGCTTCTTTCTGAAAGAAAACTGAGAAAAATGGGAACTTTATATCAAGAATATGTTCTTTACAAGTTTGTAAAATAGTTACTTAAGTAAAATGGATTGTACCAGAATACAAGGACATATTGTGTGTGTGTGTATGTGTGTGTGTGTGTGTGTATGTGTGTGTGTGTGTGTAGAAAGAAAGATACAGAGAAAGAGAGGAGAGAGGGCGAAAGGAGAAAAAGAGAGGTGAGAGATTCTTTTAAAACAAGATACAAGTCTATTTTTTGATTCAACTTGGAATTTAGGTAGCTTACAGGAATCTTTTGTCTTTTATAGGCTTTAATGCAACCCAAGGCAGCTGTTCCTTTAAAATGAGATTTAAAAAAAAACAAACAAAAAAAAACTTAAAGCCCTGCCTTCAGTTAATGGATAATTATTTGAATCAGAGATCCGTTTTATCACAAACTTCAAATAAATTGGTGAAAAATACTTGAAAATATTTTCTTTTGAGTTGAGAATAAGTCCATAGTGACAGGGATGACTCTTTGCTTAAAAAAAAAAAAAAAAAAAGACAAAAAACAAAACAAAACCCTCTATTTATTCATTTATCCAAAGAATATGTATTGAGTCCCTATAACATGCTCTGAACTAGTTAGCTTAGTAAAACTTTTTTTTGCTGAAGAATTTTCCTCTTGCAAACCAGTTCCCAAAGAGTAGACTTAGAATCAATGGATTGAAGTTGCAAAGGAAACAGATTTCTACTCAATTAGGAAACAACTATAAAGAGGAGTTCAGCAATATCTCTCACCCATGCCAGCTCTGGGATGTCTCTCTTTTCTTAGTCTTGTCTTTCACTAATAAACTTTATTTGAAAACTTAAAAAAAGGAAAGGAAGAAAAGTTAACACTAATGAAACTCACTCTTTGGAAATGCTAGATCCCCTAATATCAGAGGTATATAAGAAGTACTTTGATAAATTCTTATTAATATTTTGTATATTGGGTAAGTAGTTATTAATCTGAAGTTGCTTCCAAACCTGAACATATTAAGTGACCTCTTAGAACACAGTGGTGAGTATTTAAAAGATTCAGTATCAGCACTTTGGCTATTATCTACTTGGCTATTATTGAGCTTGTTAAAACTCTTTAGATATATTTTTTCCCCATCATTTACTGGTGTAACTAGCTCTTTAGCACAAGTAAATGTATAGTATGATGTGAGAGACAAATTCATCAGTCTATCATATTTCTCTTTCTATCCAAGCATTGTAAAGCAGTGGATTAAGAAACAGAGTCGTTCAGTACTATTTTTTATCCACATCTATTTTAAACTGAATACATAGAATTTGTAAACACTGCTACTCTTATAAATTTATATATTAAGATGATGTTCTAAAGTGAGCATTAGGAATTGATATAGATTCAAGAAACATTGGTCCACAAATTATTTTCATATTGTATTTTCTAGACACAGGAATAATTTAATAAAAGTGATGTATTCAAATGATTACTTTGTGTTGGACATTTACATATAGGTATCTTTAATTCGTTTAATGTCCCTACAAGTTTTATCTCATCATATGTATTTTATAGATGGATGAAGTGAGACTTAAAGATATTAAGACAAAAACAGAGATAAATGGAAAAACTAAGATTTGAATTCAGATTCATCTTCCAGATTAGGGATTCCCTTTTTAAACTGAACTTCAAATTTTAAGAGAGAAAGAGACTTATTCTTCTTTCATCTACCAATAACCTAGCCAGAGGGTTGGGAGGAGATATCCTAGTTTTCTTCTGGGTAAATTCCAGGTAAAATATGACTTTTGAAGGTGGGAGTCTCATTGAGTATTGAAGAATCCTCCACCAGGAAACATGACTTCAAAGTCAATTTAGTACCACACAAGAAAACGAATTCCATTACTATATAGCCACATCTCATTTCTTGGGCCACACAGAATAAATAACCTAGTTTATGATTCCCTCTCCAAATAATCTTCAGCATTACAAAAATGATAATTCCTATCTTTAAATATGAGGTTATGGTAATATGGAAGGTATTGAAAGAATATGCCATAAAAGGATGTAGCTTTCTTTAAGGTATCAAGTAGAGATTGCTAGATATAGCCAAATTCCAGACTAGATGCATCCGATATATTTCCTTCTTAATGTCTAGCATTCCACCACTCATATCTATATTTAGCATTCTCTTTTGAATCTCAATCTCTCACTTTCTGGATGGAGTACCAATTAAAAACAAAGAGCAACAGACCCTAAAGATATATATTTTAGAAGATCTAATACAGTGTTGTGTTTTCGACAGTGATATCCCCATTGGGAATAACATACATTTTCCTTAGGTCACTATTTTGAAGTGAAACACCACACACACACACACACACACACACACAATTTGCATGAATTTCCCTTGTTGACAAGCTAATTATGTTGCCTTCAAATTATTTCACATTTCTTATAAGCCAGGAGAAGCAGAAGGCTTTCCACTCTCATCGTCTGTGATTTATGAGAGGCAGCTTCATAATATCCTCAGTAGGATCAGAGTTACCAAAAGACATATGTGAACATGTATGTATGCATGTGTATACACACACACACACACACACACACACACACACACACACAAGCATTTTGAAGATAAGTGAAAATTTAAATTTATTTTTTAAGACTGAAAAAATTATCTAACGCATGTTTACACTGTTAAAATCAATCGCAAGTTCTCAAATATTGTATCTCCAATTTCCCTTCCAATTCATGCTAAATCCACTAATTAAGAAAAAAAGAATCTGGTAAGAATCACAGCTCCCTCAGTCTCTATCAAGTTCATAATGATCAAATATACTGCAAATTTTCAGCTTTTCTCTATAGACTGAAAAGTTTCTCCATTAATGTTTCACTTCGGCACCAAAAGTGCACATGTTCAATCCCATAGTCTGTCTCCAGCATGAGTTTTCAGAGTTGTCAGTAGCAGTGATTTACAGTTTGGAAATCTCATTTTTCAAAACATGGCATATTATGAGCTATTAAATCTTGCAGTGAGTTAAGCACTGCATTTATATGAAGAAATCTCCATTGAGATCTAGCCAAATCCACTCCAGTAACTATTAGAATTGAGTGGTTTGCCAGAAGCCTTAACTACTTGACTAATTCGTACCCATTGTCATTGATATTGCCTCTTTAATTTTTTTCATTCCAATTCTTCACACATATACACACACAAAGAAAGAAAAAGAATTTTAGTTTACAACAAGATCAGTACTGTGAAATGTCTGATATTGTGTCCAAAAATGTTAAGATCAAAGAATATAACTGTAAGAACCTTAGGAGTGGTAATTTCTATGCTCTATGCTGATCAGAGTATGTTGGGAGCATTATGTTCATGCCTGTTAAGAATATTATTCTTAGGAGACACATATATGAATTGTATATTATTCAGAGGAAAATAATAAAAGTGAGGAGGAGACATGAAACCATGTTATATATGGAATAAGAGGAAAAAAACTATTTAATTCAGACATAACAAGAAAATACAGTGCCATAAAAATAGTTGTCAGATATTCCAACTATTTGAAGATATAAGGTTTAAGACTACCAGATAAAAGTTGCAGGGAAGATTTCAAAACAAGAAATAATTTACAAACAGAGCTGAAATTGGTTGCTTTTGAGGGTGGTGAAGTTTTTGAGAGTGGTTAATTTAATTGCCAACCATGTGTGTGTGCATACATAGTAAGAAAGACTTTATGCAAGAAGGAGGCTACTGCAATGAGGGTGTTGTGGTAGAAAAGAGAGATTGAACTCAACTACCTTATAATACTTGAAGGCTGCAAATCTTTAGCAAGCATTGGTAAGAGTAATATAGTTAAGATGTCTTGACTGGGTAGATTAGTTAGCAATGAGCTCCTATAATCTCAAGTATTGATTCATTGCCTGCCCTTTGTAGGACAGACAATGATGAACTGGAATGTATATACATATTCACTATACATTATTTTTTCATTTTTCTATAGATACAGTGGAAGCAGTTTTTGATTTCATTCAGAGAAGTCGAAGAATGATTGTTGTCCTCAGCCCAGACTATGTGACGGAGAAGAGCATCAGTATGCTAGAGTTTAAACTGGGTGTCATGTGTCAGAACTCCATTGCCACCAAACTCATTGTGGTTGAGTACCGTCCCCTTGAGCATCCACACCCAAGCATTCTTCAGCTTAAGGAGTCTGTATCATTTGTGAGCTGGAAGGGAGAAAAGTCCAAACATTCTGGCTCCAAATTCTGGAAAGCCTTGCGGTTGGCACTTCCCCTAAGAAGTCTGAGCGCCAGTTCTGGCTGGAACGAGAGCTGCTCTTCCCAGTCGGACATCAGTCTGGAACACGTTCAAAGAAGGAGAAGTCGTTTGAAAGAGAACCCAGAACTTCAGAGCTCAGAAAGTGCTGTGGGTGCACCTTCAACCCCAGGCACAATGTCCAAGCACCGAGGGAAACCCTCTGCAGCCTGCCGCTGTTGTGTCACCTACTGTGAAGGAGAGAGTCACCTTAGGAACAAGAGCCGGGCCGAGATTCATAACCAGCCCCAGTGGGAGACACACCTCTGTAAGCCTGTTCCCCAAGAGTCAGAAACTCAATGGATACAAAATGGCACCAGATTGGAACCCCCTGTTCCCCAGATCTCAGCCCTTGCTCTTCACCATTTCACAGACTTATCAAATAACAATGACTTTTATATCCTCTAATTGCCATGTGTGGTGGGTGGTGGTTGCTATCTCTACCGACCCTCTTTATGTCATGAACCTGAGGGAAAAACTGACATTTTTATCATCTAATGGACTGTCAGATTTGTGTCCCCTTTATTGATTTTTAAAAACTATTTATTTCTAGGAGACAAAAGACCTGAAGGACCTGAATCCAGAATTATTGCTTCTAATGGCCCCAGAAGAGCACACTCTTCCTGGGCCCTAGAAGGTCAGTATGTGAAAGTCACCTAAAGTCTGATCCTCTATCTTGCCCAGTGGTTTAAAACTAAGCTAAGGATTTAAATGTGTTTCCTCTGAGTTTGTTAATCAACTTCATGTTGTGAGTGAGTCACGTGTACTTGGGCTATGATGCTTACAGGGTGTATTTATCTTAAGGGTGCATCATGGAAAGGAGCTGGTTCTGGTGGAAGCTGTAGCACTAAGCTCAACAGAAAACCTACCGTACATTTTCCTTCGATGAACCAAACATAACCACCCAGGGATACATGGTATTCTCTGTGTCACTGTAAACTAGTGTTCTCTAAACTGCCTAACGTTGTTAGCATCAATAAAATTATATTTTTATGTCATTTTATTTGTACTAACAAATTTTTACCTCCCTCTCTCTTTTCTACCTTTTATGGTTTTTGTATTCTTATCTGAAGAGTATTCATTCCATATCAGGAAGTTGAGATTTGGTTTAGGTACCAGAAAAGCTGAGATTTTTTAAAATTCTCTTTCTGATGTGTATTGAGAGACATCTAGAAAATGACCAAAATAGAATTAAGGAGTGTTTTAAATTAAATGGGAGTTTACACAAGAAGCTTATATTTTTAGAACTGACAACTGAAAAATTCATTATTGTAAGTAATTTAGGGCAGAGTTTGGTGCCTGAATTCCTTCTTCCCATTCAGGATTCTGAGAAGGGATAATAAATTCAAGTGTCTGCAAGGACCAGAAGGTAAGAAAAAAAGGGAAAAGGTGACCAGATATCAGCATAATACACACCCTCTCAATTTATTACCCATGTATTTAGGGACATAGGCACAGATACATGTTTCTTTTCTATAAACATTTTCACACAATTATAAAAGGCACATTGCACTTGATTTTCAAGTCAATAGATAAAGGAGATTATTAGTCCTGTTAGTAACTGAAGAGCATGTATTTCTTTAAAAGAGGGCAGATTCTACTCAGCTCCATTTGATTATTGCCACTGACTGAGCCCTAGGGTTACCAGATTGTCTACTTTTTCCAAGAGAACCTAAAAATCCAGATTTTTATGTATACTCTTAATTTTTGAATGACTTAAACTTAAGAAAAAAAGCAAAGAGCCTAACAAAACCTATCTATGAGTCGTATTTAACCTTAGGCTCATTTTGTAATTTTATCACTGAAGTATTCAACCAAAGTATATATGCCTAAGGGAGATTTATGTTCCCCTGGCAATGCTGGAGCCGAAGAACACAGTTTGGCTCTAAGGATATGATGAAGAATGCTTATTGTCACCCCAGACTGAAGACATCAGGCTGTTAGACTAGGGCCAATCTGACCTAACCCTCTACCAGAAGTAAATAAAAACTAGAATTTGGGTTTGCCTTCCATTTACTCTGTAGAGATTTTCTGCCTGTTGAGTTTACTTTAAGAAAAATGGAAGCACAATATCTACTACTTTAGAGCAGAAACAGAACAAAATGAACAAGAGACCATTCCATATATGAGCAGTCACTGTCGATACATAAGCCCTGGCTGCTGGTGGGCCCAGTGAGTGTCAGTCTCTCTTAGTCACTAACAGTGAATGATGGATGAAAAAAGCCAGCAGTTTCATCGCAGTATTCCTCTTGAAAAGTGACTCAGAAGATCCTTTCTATGTTGAAATAAAACAAACAAACAAGAAACCTAAAGGATCTCTTCTGAAACTGAGGGGATAAGGGCCTTCCAGAGTAAATCTGACTCACAGTGAAGCTTGTAATTAGGAAATGACAAGCCACTCTACCTAAATATCCTGCAGAAAATAACTTAGTGCAACCCAAAGCATTCTTCTATATGACTTCCCTTTTTATAGAGAGAGTAATCCATCCTTGACGCATATTCAAGAATCTTATCTTGGAAGACAGGACAGTTTCTCTCCAAATCTGTTAACAGTGGATAATGCAAATGATTCCAAATCCTAAGGAGGAAGATGATGTTCCTACCCATAATCAGACTTATTCTTTATTAACACAATGTCCCAAGCTGCAGAATATCTTTAGAAAAATTGAGACATTACATTTTTCATTTATACATTATTTTTTAGTGAAGAAAAATGGATGAAAAAATAATGGCAGAGACATGGAAGGTTAAACATGAACTCTTATTATGAATGACTAGCTAGATAATTTTGGTGCTCTCAAGCTAAATTTTGGTAAGTATCGATTTCCTTTGACGATATAAGTATAGTGTAAGCAGTATAGAGTCATAGTTTTTGACATTAGGTATATAGAAGTCAGTAAGATAATGGATTGTGACTTCTACTATATGAAGAAAGGCTTGGAGGTTATATTATTATTCCTTGACCTGACATGTCACAATTGAATATGATATTCAGTGAAGCAATTGATATAAAAAAGAAAATTTCATCATAAGTCATGTATATCCATAACTGAAATGATAAGTTTGTAGGTTAAATGGATATATCATTGCCTGAAAAATTGGCTACTTAGGAGCATGAGTTTAAGTCAAATAGAGATGGACATGAGTCCTGTTTCTCTTGATCTGTTTTGCCATGATCTCTGTGAGCCTCAATCTCCAGCTAGCTAGAATGAAGATAATCTTATTAACCTCATTGGGTGTTTTGGACATTAAATGATGTATCACAAATGTATTTCTTAGACATCACTTTTATTTTTTGCTCTCATAAAATGCTCAAAAGCATTATAGAACAGGAACACATTATCCAGATTAAGTGACTTTCTAACGACACTCAGTGAATTAGTGATAGAGTTAAGCCTCTAACCCAGGGTTCTGATACAGTGCCAATTCTATAACCATCTCAGTAAGATTTAAGTGGACATATTTCTATTATAAAGCCATATAGATGGAACTATTTAATCTGGGCCACAGTACATTCAAACCAATAAAAGCAGATAACATAAATCCACATGCAACTAATTAAATGTTATACTATGCCTGATATGTCATCTGACTTTGTCATATTATGATTTTATATAACTTCATTTTTAAACAGTGTAACTTTTTTAAACATTAAAAAACTAGAAGTATTTTTTGGTATCCTATATGTTCTATGATCATGCTATAACTTTCCTCCAAGATAAATTAATTATATTTATTTTTCTTAGTGTAAAATACAAATATATTCACCATTTACCTTGAAAAAAAATTTAACCTTTCAGAAGCTATGATAAACACGAATTTCGGAGTTATCCTCTCCTATAACTATTAAAAACTCTGGTAATAATATATTCACTTTCAGATTTGAAGTGGTTGGGAACACTAATGTTCTAGTTTAGAAAAAGTCATGAATAATACATTGAACTAATCATAAAGACAAGCACAGAAGAACAAACAATTTCTATGGCATTGGTTTCAAATTTTGAGCTTCTGAGTCTAATGTGGGAAACATCTTCAGTAAAGATCCTAGAGCAGACCCCTCCCAAAGGGACTGATTCATTAGGTGTGGACATGGTGTAGGAGTCTGCATTTTTAAATTGTGCACTTGATAATTCAAAGTATTCCATGGGTCAAATTTAGCAAACTACTACCTTTGAGAAATCTTTCAAACCCTTCCTATATTAGTGTTCAAACTTGTAACGGACAAAGACTCAATGAGGATCTTGTCCAAGTCTTCTCAAGGGCTTGATTATTGATGTATCCACATTGGACTCATTTGAGGTTCATATTAAAATGCATAGTTCTTGACTTCATCCAAGACTGACTAAATGAGGATTTCTAATGTGGGGTGGATCTGTGTTTGGATTAAACTTCCAGATGATTCTGACATACAAAAAAGATTAAGAATCATTAATTTTTATCTTTTTTTAACTCCTTTTTTACCCTTGTAGGCTCTGATTTTCTCCAGCCAAGAACTACAAGTCATCCTTTTAACAAGGTGTTTGCAGGCAATAGATGAAAATTTAGGGCATGTTTAGCCCTTGAAGTTGCCTCGGCATAAGGAGACAGTTGAATAGAGTGATTAGTAGAGTGTATTTATAATATTTGAAATATCAAACACTCATATTTGGAAACTGGCGGGATTGCTGTAGTCATCATATGTATTCATCAAAATAAAATAAGCTATGCTGGGTTAATTAAAAAAATATTTCAGTAGCTTCATTTAACAAGGTATTTCTTGTTCTATGCCACATAAACAGCATAGAAGCTTACTTGTTTTTTGCTCTGCCTTCTGAAATGTGTGGCTTATTGTTCTGTGTGCCAACTGAAATATGACACTCATTACTTTCACTTACAATTCATTAGACAGAACTAGCTTTAAAGGTTCTGATATAGTCATAGGGGAGGCTAGAAAATGTAGTCTTCCTGTGTCCCTAAAAAGAGAAAAATGAAATGAACTGGTGAATACATAGCATCATTTTTGTCTACATATGAGATGAGTATGCAATATTGAGATAGCCTGAAGAGGAAAGTAACCTACAAACTGAGATATGTCACATACTTTGATAATAAAAGAATAAAAGGACTATGCTGTCAGCACCTACCTCAGTTTGTCAAGGTATGAAGATAAAACAGCATTCAGAAAAGAGTAGACATTGTTTATAAATGCCCCCGCCCCCCCCCAAAAAAGTTGTTGAATGAACACATAACAATAATCACAGCTTCTGGTTGAAGAAAATCAGGATTAAAAATTTGAAAGTGACTATATTTGGTTACTTTGCATTCAGTGGCTTTAGTTAGTTCTCTAAGAATGTGATGCTCAAACTGTTTGCAAATGAGCCATTTCATTTTGGATATCCAAGAAGCCTCAGGAGAATTGAAGACATTTAAAACACAGCAGAGCATGTAACACCATCATTAGAAAGCATCACTTGATCCATTTATCTATAGAGCTAAATAGGGAATTCAAAATGAACATGCTGAAGCTCAAATGAAAGAAGAGACAATTGCTAGTGTCTTATGAAGTCTGCTGCTATCTGTGTATCTGTTCTCTCCACGATTTGGATTTTCTGTTTGTATTAAAGATTTGAATTTTTATAACTTTACTGTGTACAGAATCATTTGATCATGGGAAAATGCTATCTTTGGGCTGGTGAAGATTAGTGTTCAATGAGTCTTGATTTATGTTAATAAGTTATAATGTTGAACAAAAAAGTTTTAACTCTTAATGTAGCAAGGAAATTAGTGAAACACTCAAAATTCTTTAGAAAATGAATCACAAAGTTTTTATCTTGAACAGTTTAGACATTTAAAAATTTTATTTATTTTAAAGATGTGGTGTACAATTCAGGATAGGTTTACAAGTGATCATCACACAGGTAAAGTTTGGACTTTTTGGTCTCTGCTCTGCCTGGTGTGAGATCAGGAACCATTATTAATGTTGTGTGCAAGCCCCCTCTCCTGGCAGTTTCCCACTACT